CCTTGGATAGCCGGCCAGCAATCACCCAGCAGGAACACATTTGTCATGTTGCTTTCTTCGCTCGACGGTCAACACCTTGCATTTGCCACGTGTCATAATGCCTTCCTCTCTCGTCCCACGCGGCTTGGCGGCCGAGAGCAAACATCAGCGCGATTATTCGCTAACACGTGGTTAAAGAAATAACCCCTTTACAGTTACCCCTTTACAGTTAGCAAAGCCTCTTAAACTTACTAACATATCTTTGTGAGAATTTGCTCACATCTCACAATTTCCTTGTGAGATGATTCCTTTATTTTTAGCACTAGTCCATTACTATCCATTGGGCCATAGGGAATAAACAAAGTTTATTGTAGTTTGTTTTTATGTTTTAAGGTGTAGTAAGACAGGAGTTAGTTAATATAAAGCTTCTTTATATACAGTATTGATGATGAATGTTGATGAATTGAATGGAATTAAGCGGCCTTGTGTATGGGTTGTGTGAACTTGAATTGCAAGTTGTTGTGGTGATATGCATCTTGAGAGTGCAACATAGAGCTGCCCATGGGTAAAGACTGGTTGGGGTAAGTAGATGCCTACACGATCAAATGTTTGACCTTGGCATTTTGAAATTGTTAAACAGTATCTAAGATGAAGAGGAAATTGTTTTCAAGACATATGGAATGGAACATCTGAATCAGAGGGTGTTAAGTTAATGCGTGGGATAAAAGTTCTAGTACCTTTAAATTCACCTGTAATTATTTCACAGTCCAAAACTTTAGGTGAAGTTCTTTTGACCATTAGTCGAGTTCCATTGCATAATCCAATTGTTGGAGACATATTTCTCAGAAAAATAACTATACAACCTTCTTTTAGTATCAATTTGTGTGATAGTAGTCCAGAGGGAGTCATAGAGTTTAGAAATTCAATTGGGAAATCTTCAGGGTGTTCAACATCAACAGAGTCAATGCTAGTATAAATTTGAGGTGGACCTGGTAATTGAGAGATGATGTTGTTGTTAATTGGAAATGTATCATCATTGAGAGGTGTTAAAATGGCTCTGTTTGCTGCAATTTGAACATTTGAAATATCTTCGATACATGGGAATACAAAATTAGTAATAGAGGTACTTTTAATTAATTCTGAAGGAAGAAGGATAGAATCAAGTGGTAAAATAGGGTTTTGTGTGTAATTATTTCCATCACCGACTTTCAATAGCCATTCTACCCAGTCTGGGAACTTAGGGCCAAGCCGCATATTTGTTTGCAATTGAAACTTTCTAAATAAATTCCATAGACTATTCATTCTTACAGATGTGGAAACAATCTATGCTCGATGACTGTGTGGGATAACTGGTAATGTTTGACGAAAGTCACCACTTATAACAATAACAATGCCACCGAATGGAGAATTGTTCTATTTTAAGTCTCGTAGGCAGCGGTCGACAGCTAAAAAGGCAAGTGTATGAACTATACTAATTTCATCCCAAATAAGCACTTGTATTGCTTTCATAGATCTACCGGCACTGTTATTAGATGTTAAACTAGAAATATATGTATCATTAATTGGAACTGGTAACTTAAAGGTTGTATGGGATGTTTATCCATTGTGTAGTAGTGTGCTTGCAATGCCTGTCCATGCCATACAAACCACTTTTTTATTGTAAAACTCAAAATAATTTACCATTGTATTTAATAAATATGTTTTGCTAGTACCACCAGGGCCATCAATAAAAATAAAACAGTTAGTATCGATTGGGTACTCGACAATATTAACAATTTCATTGAATATAGCTAATTGTTCAACATTCAAGTTTCTAATATAATGGTAAATTTCTGTATATGAATGGTTGCAATTTGGTATTGGTTGAATAGAGGTATTAGGATTGGGATAGGTAAATTGTATGATTGGTTTGTTTTACCATGTATTTTCATTTTTGAGTTAATGTCTATTAGAGCAAGTTTATATTTGCATACAATATTTGTTCTACCAAAATCTTCAGAGAGCTAATCCTTAAAAACATCCCAAAGATATAGTGGGTCTTGTGGATTGCAAAAAATACATATGAAAGTAAAGAGTTGACGCAATTGTGTAGGCATCTGAAAATTGCATGTTTCTTGTAAACAATTATACCACTCGTTATCATCATCAAGAAGACCCATAGCAACAGTAGTTTGTTGAAAGCTTTGGTAAGTTACATCATTAACTATTTTAATATTGTCGAAGGATGTCGCTCCTCTTTTATGAAGAAGAATAATACGTAAGTGGTACAATTCGGTATTTAGAGGAGATATTGAGTATAGTTGAGGAATAACCTTTTTCGTTTTTTGACGTTGCCATACATTAGTAGATTTATTGAAAACATAATGTAAAGGTATTTCAACGTAGGTATATTGTCTTGCATTCAGATCATGAATATCGAGTTCGAACCATTTTGTTAGCATTGTTCCATTACGTGCTGCTCTTTGCAAGGCATTGTGCTCCGAGCCTTCTGTAAAATACACATTTTGGAAGTCAGGAAGATGTACGGGCAGACGTATTATAGGGTGTGAGCGCCCATGCATTTTAAATTTAAATATCCTCCAAATAGCTTCCGGTGCTGAAATGTATCGGGTATTTATAAAATTTGTGATTTCATCCCAGTTTAATACGTTTTTAGACTGAGTAGCTATTTGGATTTGAATGGTTGCACAATCATATCCTTTATAAACATATTGAAAAAGATACTTAATACTTTTAATTGATGCACATATTTCTATATTTATATGGGCTTTGTATTTTTTACATAAATATTTATTATATGGGACAATCCATCTGTTATCAATTGGAACATCATTTTTAAGGAAGGTGCGACCATTGTTTGGTCTAAAATATTCAGGGTACCCATCCACACAATATGTAGTTCCGTCATTGAAGTTTTTGGGATAATTTTTGGAGCATTTTTTGTTTTCCATACATAAACTTTGAGGATTTAGTAATCCACATGGACCATGTATTATATGTGATGTGATTATTTCAAATAGTTCGGGCTTTGATAAAGGGTCAGGTAATTGAGCAGATACATATTGGTCAATAGTGTCACAGTTTTTAATTTTACTTTCATTATCTAATATGCCTAAGAAATGACAATGTGGCAAACCTCTTTTTTGGAACTCAATGACGTATATAAATGCAATACATCTTCCAAAGATATTATTTTGTGTAATATCATGAGAAAATATTTTAGCTTCATGTTAAAAATGCTGCTCCATGATTCGTGGACTTTCCAGGAGCCTCGGGGGAGTCCAAGCTAACGTGAACTCCATTGAGGTTGGTCGTGGAAGCGGTGCTGTTTAGCTTCCTGTCTTGCTCATCGAGCAGTAGTAACTTTGTGGTTGTCACATCTACCTCGGCAGCACGGTCTTGGAGTGAATCTTGTAGATGCAATTGCAAATGTAGATGTTGTCAAGCTTCACGTCCAGGTGAGCAAGGCTGTGCCGAGAGAATGTGCTTCAAAGCGTTTAAGAGTTTAAATCACCTCATCCCATTTCCTCACAGTGGAGTAAAAATGAAGACCATACAAATTCTATGGACTACAAATACCTTGATTTGATGGAACTCCTCACAGTAACGCGATGAAGAGCCAAAAGCGGAGACACATCCTGCATGAGAATACCAAAGTTATGAAAGAAGAATGACAAATAACAACTTGCGATGGGGTTCTCAGAAGCAAAGACACCAGCATTGACACAGCACCTCCGATTTGGATCGCAAACCGGCAGCAGCGGCACAGGCCTCAAAAACCCTAGAAAAACATACAAAACAAAACCAATTCACTTGACAGGCCACGGCAAGGGCTCTCTCGCTGTCTCAAAAACCCTAGAAAAACATACAAAACAAAACCAATTCACTTGACAGGCCACGGCAAGGGCTCTCTCGCCATCTCAAAAACCCTAGAAAAACATACAAAACAAAACCAAGCTGGATCACGACACGATCAAGCTCGAATCCCAGCTAGCAGCAACGATTTGGGAGTGGATTTAACCACCTGACACGTGGTTAAAAAAATAACCCCTTTACAGTTACCCCCCATCGGACGGCCCCGATTGGCCAGATCCGGTGGCCCACAAAGTTTGGCGTTTGCTCCTTATAGTAGTAGATGTGTGCAAGAATGATTCATCATGCTTAAACCGTAATAACAACTTACTATGTGAAACAGCCATTTTTCACTTCAATGGAAAGCTACATACCTCACACACAAGGCTAAAATCTTATGTGGCAAAAACAATGTGATAAAATGGCCTCTATATCATCGAGCACGGTTACGATATGTGATTATGCCAGGAAAGGGCAACTGCTGGACGCGAAACATGGTTTCAAAAGAATGCCTCAGCTAGATACTGCATGCTGTAATGCAATTCTCGCGGCTTGTTCACGATACCGATTGCTAGATTTAGCCCATCAAACCTTTGAGAGCATACCTCAGCAGAATCTCATTTCATGGTCCACCATTATCTCTGCTTATGCCCAAGCTGGGCATCTTGATAGCGCCTGAGAACTGCTTCATCTTATGCCTTTGCACAATCTTGTTCCGTGGACTGCAATGCTCGCAGGGTACGCTCGAGCCGTCTCGCTCTCTCTAGCAGAGAATATCTTTGATCTGATTCCCGAAAGAGATCTTGCATGCTTCAATACTTTGCTTGCGGCATACGCCACGATCCGGCTCGCAAACCAGGCCGAGAGATTCAGCTATGGCCATGCCAAATGATGCCCAAAAGGTTTGGGAGAACATGCCCCAGAGGAATTAGTTTCTTGGAACACAATGCTGGGTCTCTACTTAGACTGCGGCAAATTAGATGCTGCCAAGCTCGTGTTTTGAGGACATGCCGGAGGGGAATCTAGCCTCGTGGACTTCCATGGTCAGAGCATATGCCGACGCCGGATACCCAGAATATGCCCAAAGTATCTTTCTACACGACCTCGTTTACTTGGCTGCGTATAGTAACAATGGTCACGTAGATTAGGCAAAGAAAATATTTAACCGGATGCCATGGAGAGATATAGTGTCGTGGACAACCATAGTTGCCGCAGCTGCTCAGTATGGGTATTTGGAAGAATCCTTACGATTGCCGTACTGCATGCCGTATTGGAACACTTTGGCGTGCAATTCCGTGCTAGCAGCCTTGGCGAAAGCTAATAGAATGCAGAAATTAAATGATCGATTATATTTTTGAAAAAGATATTGTAACGTGGAACAAAGTTTTTGACTGCATATGCCACGAATGGGGATTTTGAGCGAGTCATGGACCTTTTCAATTCTGCGTTCGAGAAAAATATGGTATCCTGGAATACTGTGGTATCGTTTCTTGCTTGCAGGGGCCAATTGGAGGAAGCGAGAATCTATTTTGAAACTATGCCGGAGCAAAACACTGTACCATTATGCGCATTAATTTCTGCATACGCCCGAATGGGGCACCTAGACGAGGCAAGACAATTTTCCAGAGCTGCACATATTGAGAGCACTGAAATAAAAACAGCAATGGTCAGCACGTTTGCGGAAAATGGATGTGTAGTAGAAGCCAAATATCTGTTTGAAAGTGGTACAAATCATGATTTGGTGTCGTGGACTGCTTTTATGACCGCATTTGCCCTTAATGGGCATTTTTGTCGTTGCGGGTCCTTGTTCTTGCGTATGCCCGAAAGGGACGTGGTTGCATGGACCACACTGCTTGCAGCTTACGCACAGAACGGCAGAGGCACTATACGTTTTCCACTCCATGAACGCCATGGACGTGTCCGTGGATGGATGCTTTGGCTGTGCGCTCGTGGCATGCAGCCACGTTGGCAGCGTCTACGCGGCAAGATCTTGCTTCGTGTCGATAGAGATGGACTTCCATGTACAGCCCGTGAAGCTCCACTTTCGGTGCATGATCGATGTCTTGGGGAGAGCCGGGTATTTGCATTCTGCCCAGGAGCTGCTCAAAACCATGCCCTTCGAGCCCGAGACTGTGGACTGGAAGTGCCTCTTGGGGGCATGTAGGAGCTACAGATCCTCCGTTGAGTTTGGGAATTTCGTTGCCAAGAATGTCATTGACAAGGATCCGAGAGGAGCTACTGGTTATGTCCTTGCAGCCAACATGATGGTCTCCTAGTTCTAAGCAAGATCTCAAACTTCGACCATTTCGTCGTGATTGTTCATGGCTATCGATTCTCAGCAGCACGAAACTCTACGCCAACGTAACAAAGTCTACGGCATTAGCACGCCATTCACTCTTTCTTTAAGCTCTTTGTCGCGTGTGGCAACCAGTGTCTGGATCCCGGGGAGCGTCCAGTGCAGCACCCGGTTGCCAAAAAACATCCGGAGGAGACCCGAAACAAGAAGCTTGTCATTGGCGCTTACCTTGCGCGCCACCGGGAAGCTCAGAATGCTGCTCTCGTAGACCGTGCTGTCACAAACAATCGCTCCTACGAGCAGCAGTCTTCTCTTCTCAGTCACAGGCGAGAAGCTGCGTTCGATATCCTCGTTGTGCACAATCTTGTCGAAAACGATCCTGGCGTTGAGTGCCCTGGCCGCCTCCTCGGTTTGCAGCCTCACTCGTTCCTCCAGCTCCACCAACAAGCTCTTCTTGTCTGGATAGCGCTGGAAGCTCTCCGAGAGGAGCTTGGCACTACCGCTTTTGATCGTCCCTTTGGATTCAAGCTGACGTCTGAATTCCTTGCTCGAGATCTTGTTTCCGGGCTTGCCAGGCTTGACCATCACGTAGCCGAGAGGATGGATCTCTGCACAGCCCCACCAGCCATCGCCGAGCACCAGGCAGTGGAGCCTGTTTGCCGACGAGTTCCTGATCGCTGCCCCCATGCCCGCCTGGCTCAGTGCCTGGTACATGCTGTCCGGCCACTTGGTTTCGTCCCTCCCGCCTTGCACCACCACAAGAACAGCGCTGGGAAGACTCTTGTCTAGCTTGAAATCGTGAGTGTGGCATTTGATCACGTCGTTAAGCTCCTGCTCGCAGCGAGCGGAGGTGGCTTTGGCTTTGTACTTCCGTGGTTCTCCGTCGATGAGCTCTCCGGGCTTTGGAGAGAATCGCGCGAGTAAGTTGGAGAGCAAAGCCATGAGGAGCCATGCCCGCGTAGTTCCTTTGAGACTGCCGTAAGCGCTGCCGTGCCTTTGGATCTCGAAAAGAAGCTCACCCAGGAGGAATTGTGACACCTCTTCGCTCACGAGGGCGCCATCGCCACCGAATTTCTTGACCCTCCCTTGCTCTACCTGGACCAGCGGCTGCTCCAGACTCAACACACTGCTTGGCTCCATCAAGTTTTTAGGATTCTTGCGGGCGGGAATCTCGGGGATGGTGTTTCGTTGGAGCTTGAGAACTCTAGCGTAATGAAGACACAAGAATCTTTGTCAATTTCGATTCGAAAGAGCATCGTTCACGCAGCAATCTTTGTAAAGAAGCTTCAATGTAGTGAAGTGAAAATCTAGAACAGTTTAAACTAGGAACCATTAAATTTACATAATGTGAAACACTGGAGTCTTGGTGAAAAACTCGGTGATCACCAAGGCGAGGAAGCCAAGCATCGCGGTTCGCCCATTCCAGCGCTCCGCCATGGCTCTAAATGGCCCAAACGATCTGCTGTCCGGGCTCTCGCCCTTAAACATGGGCACCAGCGACGCGTACGCGAATAGCTGTGCCACCGCCAGAAAATGGAAAAGACCAGTGCTCCCCGGCGAGTAGAGCTGCTCCGCCACCGTTTGTCCCGTCATTCGCTCCACTGCGAATGCCCACACCAATCCTACCATTGCCTGTTTGACAAGTTCACGTTAGTTACTTGGTTGATCTAGAAAAAAACGAGAAGAAAAATCACCAATCGCTTACCAGTCTTCCGTTGATCGTTTCCGGGCCGGCTCCATCGAACGCCATCAAGCTGGGGAACGATCGATCGCCAGTCTCTGGTCGCCTCTCGACCTCTGGCCTGGGATAGAAGGATCCGGACGATGGGACGGCTCCAAACACGGAGCGCTTCTCCGACTCGTTCTCGGCCTGGTTCTTGAGCACCTCCTCGCGGGTTATCTCCTTCTTGGTGCCGTCGAGAACGCCACTGATGCCGCCATCGCCACCATCCCTTGATTTGTTCGAGGACGCTCTTACTACTACTAGATTTCTTGTCCCGATGGAGCTTGTGGGCGATTGCGATTGGACATGGATCTTGTTGGAGATGAGCGAGGAAGAAGAGAGAGCTGCGATACCGCTGCCTGTGACGAGTGCCATTGTTTTGAGCTGGGAGCTAGCTAGAACAAAATTCAACAGTGCAACAACGAGCTACTTTCTGATGGCAAATGACACAAAGCTATTTATACGGAGTGGGGATTGTATAACGTGGCAAAATTGACTTTCCATACGTGGCAAAATCGAGGTTTCGGCTCGTGTCCACTGTATGTGTCGCATCTTGTGCGGTGAAAATGGCCACAGGTAAAAGTTCTCAAGGGTTTGCAAGGTGTGATATTTTAGAACTAACGTTTCATTTCGCAATTGGCATATGGGGATGCTGTTTTTTCCTGAAACAATTGTGTATATAGTTATGTATGACATGTCTAATAAGCAAGATCTAATCAGATTCACTCGAAAACTTGCTGGAGGTCTTGATGGACTTGCAAAAAAACATGGCAAATGCCAAGGAAGGTTACTTGAGAGCATGTCTACTCGACTATCTCTCCTGTATATCACGAGAAAGAAAAAGAAACGAGTTGAGAGAAACAAAAGAGAAAATCATGGAAAACTCGTACAGTCTTGAAGAACCAAAACGCCTGGGTGAGTTTTAAACCAACACATCTGTATAGAGAGGAACTTTGTCTTGTAAAATCAAATAAAAAATAAATATTGCACTCATGATAACAACAACAGCTTATATCATGAATGTTGATTCATATGAGATTTTGAGACAAAGAAGTGCTTATTAATAATAATGAAAAATCAAAACAAGCTTGCAATTATCTATTTCCAAAAGGGATTGCATTATATTTGTTTATTTGAATACATACGAATTAGACTCCTCAAATTTAATGATTATATAAACTGCTGAATCAAGCCCAAGGGATTATAAGAAGTTTAAAGAATCATTGTCTTGGATTTAGTGGATTTGTCTGAGTCACTTATAAGTTGCATTTTTTCTATTTATTATAAACATATATATTTATGTAAAGGAGTTATTGCAATTATGTTTTTCCTTTTTTACCAAATAACCTAAAGGTCTCCCCTAGCAAGCATCATGAATTTATAAAAGCAACTTACAAAGCTAAAAAAATTGAACACATGAAAATATCTTACTTTCATTAACATCTACATTAAAAATGCCATAGTTTTTTTAAAAGTAGGGAATGATAATATTTTTACTTTCCATATTTTTTTACAACCCAATAGATGAAAAAAACATATGGAACCGAATTAATGTATAATTGATATCTTTACAAAAATAAAAATGTAAATAAAATGAACACAGCAACCTATAGGCTGGTGTAACAATCAATAGGCTATTACAATAATAGTTCCATCATCCATCACTCAAACCAAGGGAAATTACATACAGGCAAAAGCAAATCTTCCCCCATTAATGATACTTTTCGAAATAAGAATCAATGGATATTATTTTTTGCTTTATTGGATGCTCAAAATCTAATAGTATTTAAGCTTCCAACCTATATGTTTATATTTATAATTATCTAAAAATTTTTTACAGTTCAGTTTAGCTAGCTTAAGCTAGTGGTCAGAGAAGTGACTAGATCAACACCTTGCCATCACCACTTCAGGTTCTTGAATGCCACGAGGTCACCTTAATTGAGGAGCCACAAGCCATGTAAATAGAAATGTCAAATTGTGTTAGTGCTGAAAGGTCAAATGAAAGAGGAATTATGTGACATAGGTTATAGGCACAAGGAAGTTCCAATGGATGCAACTTGACACGAATCACAGGAATATTTCAAGAATATTCTATGGCATGTGCGATTTAAGGCCGTAATGCGTTAAGGGTTGGGAGGTTGGCCTAGGGTTTGCTCTTTTGTTCATTTCATTAGTATTAGTGCAATACATTCTTTTGGGGATGGCGTAAGATATTTATCCTAATGAGGAGTATGGTGTTAATGTGTAAGCAACCAAAGGAAATGACTCGAGAGAAGATCCATAGGGGTTCAAATATAAAAGGAAAAGGCCCATGAACAAAAGTGCACTTCCTTTTCCAATCGATTAAGGGTTTTGGGATATTTGGGGTTATGCGTCCTTGGGTTTGAATAGTACTGGGCTGAGTGAGCTTACATTTGGTATAAGAGCGATCTCAGGTCTGACTCTGTTAGTTGGCTAAAAAAATCACACCACATATTGATTGACATCTGGTAGCTTTAGTTTACTCTCGACTGGGCTCAACCTGAGGGGTAGGGTGTCAAGAGAGCGGGGTGAGAGAGAGAGTTGCGCCTTTCAACTTCCATTCACGAGGGCGTGAACTTGCAAAGAAGCGTGGTGGATTGTAAGCAACCAAAGGGAACGACTCGAGAGACAATCCATAGGGGTTCAAATATAAAGAAAGGGCCCATGAACAAGAGTGCACCCCCTTTTCCAGGGTCTTGGGATATTTAGGGTTAAGCATCCTTGGGTTTGAATAGTATTGGGTTGGGTGACCTCCCGGGAAGTCCAAACTCAAGAGCATACATAATGATAATAGCCATGACGATGTGAAAGAGACTCTTGATAATGTCGTTGTATGATGATAACCATAACGATGTGGAAGAGACTCTTGATGATGTCGTTGTGTGGCAAGGATGCCAGATTTCTGAGGTTTAGAGCAACATAAAGAAAGTTAAGGACTCCATCAATCTCACTAAGGATTTCTTGTTTCGCATGGACCCTCAAAGGTTGAATCAATCTCATGTCCATGATTACCATTGGTACGTCAAGCATGCCAAGGATTATGGTATCATGGAATTGTGGGAAAATTGTTAGTTTCACAATCCTTATGAGGATAAAGTGAAGATAGATTTCTTTGTGACAAAGCTTATGGGCCATGCTTCTTTGTGGTGGAAGAATTACATCAAAGCTAATCCAAAATTGACTTCTTGGACTAATTTAATAAAGGTTTTCCATGTTTCATTTGTCAAGAAGTTTGAAGAGGTTGATTTCATGAACCAATTGTTAAAGATCTGATAGAGGATTTTGTCTTTGGATGCGTATGCCCGCAAATTTCGTGATCTTTGCCTTAGTCCCACGAGCATCTATAATGAGTTGCTAAAGGTGCAATGTTTCATCAAAGGATTGAGCTCAGTGGATGTGTAGTAGAAGGTCAAGAAAGATTTTCTAGCAACATTGACTGATGTTATCACTAAGGCTCAAATTTTTTCACCCGAACAGTCAGTCAACTTAGTCAACTCTAGTCAACAAGATGGTTTATGGAGTAGTCAATATGGTGACCAGATTGCCAATGTTTCATATTCAAGGAAGAAACAACCATTATTCCATCGTGGTTCGAATAATGGAGATGGTAATGAGGCCAAAAGACATTGTTTGAACCAGCGAGAGAAAGACAAGGTGGAGGGCAATTGTTTTTGTTATCACAAGGCTGGATATCATGGCAAGGATTGTCCTCTTGTGAAAGGATCAAAAAATGCTAAGGTGAATATGGTGGAATCCATTGTGGATACAATTCAGGCATTTGTTGTGGTGGCTCTTCCTATGGCAAAAGTTCAAGAATCTAAGTTTCAATTTCGTATCAACTCTATAGAGATTAATGGTTCTATGTACAATCAACTTATGAAGGCCAAGGGGGACATTCAAGGTAGTGTTGTTAGTATTCTTTTCAATCCAAGTGCTACTCACAATTTTTTGAGTTCCAAGGTAGTGAAAAAACTTGGTTTGCCTGTGGAAAAGAGTTCAGTAATCTATAAGGTGGTTATGGCAGATGGACATGGCACTCGTGTTTACAGTGAATGGGTTCTAATTGTTCCTTTGATAGTTCAAGGGATTCTCGACCATCCTTTGTTCCAAAGTTATGGATCTTGGTCACACCGACATTATTCTTGGGAAGGAATGGTTTTATGATAAGAAGCCAGGGATTGATTAGGAGTGTAATGTTCTGCGTATTAAAGTTGGTGGCACTATAAAAGAGATTGTCAAGACAGATAATAGTGATACTCCATTGATTAACGCTTTGGAGTTGGTGACATGCACACATGAGATAGCTAATTCTTTTGTGGTGTACATGTTTCTTTCTAATATGATCATGTCTGATTTGGAGTACGTACGTGGGCATGGGGCTAGGGTGGATTCCATGCAAGAGGAGTTCTGTGACGTATTTCCGAATGAGTTATTTGATGGTTTACCTCCTGAATGTGGCATTCAGCATGAGATTGACTTGGTTCTTGGAGCTACTCCTTATCAGCAACAACTGACTTATACTAGTCATGTTGAAGATGAGGAGATTAATAAGCAGCTTGCTAAATACCTTCGGAAAGGGTGGTTACAGATCAGCAAGTCCCCTTGGGCTGCTCCAGTGGTGATGGTCAAAAAGAAAGATGGTATATGGCATTTTTGCGTGAACTACAAGGGATTGAATGATAGGATAGTGAAGAATATGTTCCTGATCCCTCATATCGATGATTTGCTCGATCGTCTTCGTGGTGCTTGATATTTTTCGAAGATTGATTTGAGGCAAGGGTATCATCAGATTTGTGTCAAGCCAGAGGATGTTTCGAAAACTACATTTTGGATAAAGACAGGTCATTACAAGTTTTTAGTGATGCTGTTTGGTTTGATAAATGCTCCTGCAACTTTTCAGAGATTGATGAATCAAGTTCTACAACCTTACTTGGAAAAGTTTGCAATTGATTATTTTGATGATATCCTGGTATTTAGCTCTTCCATGGAGGAACATGAGATGCATGTGCAAAGTGTTTTACAACTTTTGAGGGACAATAAGCCCTACTCAAAGTTATCCAAGTGTGAGTTTTTTTTAGAGGAGATTGGATATCTTAGGTATTTGATTTCGGTACATGGAGTGAGAGTTGATCCCACAAAGATTCAGGTTATGGTTGATTAGCCTATACCTTCAACAGTGCATGATCTTTATAGTTTCCTTGGTATGGCTGGAGTTTTTTGACGATTTGTGAAGGACTTTTCAGGGATAGCAGCCCTTTTAACTGATCTTCTCCAGAACACATCGAAACATGCTACTATTCATGGTTGGGATGAGAAATGTGAAGTGGCATTTCAACATTTGAAGTAGTGTTGTATCTCTGCTCCGGTGTTGAAAATTTTTGATCTTGAAAAGCCTCTTGTGGTTGAGACAAATGCAAGTGACATTGTTATTGGAGCCGTATTGCTTCAAGTTGAGCATCCTCTTGCGCACATGAGCCATAAGTTTGATGCCACACAGTGGAATTGGCCTACTTGAGACAAGGAGTTGTATGCTGTGATTGCTGCTGTGAAGGAATGGCAACATTATCTATATGGATTAGACTTCCATATGGATTCAGACCATCAGTCACTCCAATATTTTAGTCGACAAAAGGATCTTCGAGGCTGCCTTGCTCGTTGGCAAGAGTTCCTACAGGAAATGTCTGTTAAGATCTGGTACAAGCATGGAGGTGACAATAAAGTGGCTGATGCATTATCCAGGATGGTAAATTCTATCTCATTCGTGAAGCTATCTAGCAATCTCTTGGATGAGCTTAAGGAGTTTGTTGACTTTGACTCCTTTATCACTGATACTCGCGTGAAGGTTTTGTTGAGGGACACCTCTACAGATTTGAAGGGTGACAAGTTTGTGTCATTCGAAATACAAGATGGAATCCTGGTGAAGAAGGGTGTAGTGGTTCCTCGTGTTGACAAACTCATCAAACAGATTTTGGTTGAGTGTCAAGATGTGCCAAGTGCTAGGCATTTGGGGGTATTGAAAATGTATATGTTGGTGAAGAGGCATTTCTTTTGGCCTGGGATGAAGTCAGATGTTGAGAAGTATGTATGTGGTTGTTTGACCTGCTAGGCGGTCAAAGTTGATCATCAGAAGCTTGCTGACCTCTATCATCCTTTACGTGTACCCAAGAATAAGTGGGATAACATCTCAATAGACTTTATCACTGGTTTGCCCAAAACCTTTCGAAGAAATGATGTTATTTGGGTTGTTGTGGATCGTTTAACGAAAATGGCTCACTTCTTCCCTGTGAAGACAACAATAAAAGCTTCTGAACTTGCTCAATTGTTTGTAGACCGGTTATTCAATCTCTATGGTTTGCCGGGTGACATTGTGAGTAATTTGGGATCCCAAGTTCACATCCAAGTTTTGGCAAATGGTCTTTGAAAAGCTAGAGACTAAGCTGAGCATGAGTAGTGGTGAGCATCCACAATCTGATAGGCAGACAGAATGCATGAATCAGCTATTAGAAGATATGCTAAGGTCTTTTGTGGGAAATTTGACTCAACAGGGAGTATGGGAAAAATACTTGCCTTTGCTTCAGTTTTCTCACAATTGCACTCATCGATCAGCTATTGGCATGTCTCCCTTTATAGCGATATATAGCTATGAGCCTAAGTCTTTTGTGAGTTTGAATTTGGCTTTGATTCGGGTACCTCATGCTTGTGATTTCCTAGAGGATATGCAAAACAAACTTTAGTTAGCAAAGTTGAACATATGGCAATCTCAAAAGTGAGACAAAAGATTGGCTGATGAGTATCATTGTCATCAAGAGTATAAAGTTGGTGACAAGGTTTTCCTTAAGCTGTCAAATGCACAACGGTCTCTGAAAGGAGGTGGCAGTGCTAAATTGTCTCCATGGTATTATAGACCTTGAACAATTTTACAGCAGGTAGGGGATCTTGCATACACTTTGGACTTGCCAGTTAATTTGAAGATTCATCCAACATTCCATGTGAGCAAACTTAAAGTGTGTTTGCACTCTGGTGATATCGTGGATCAGTCCATCATCCAGGTTTCAGAGATGTAGAGAAAGCTAGTCCGGCCAATATTCTTGCTCAAAGATTGGTGAAAACACGCCGGAAGACCACTAGGGAATTGTTAGTTCAGTGGAATGGTTATTCCATGGACGAAGTTATATGGAAAACTGAAGATGACGTGAAGAAAATGTTTTTGAGTTTTGGTTATGACTTGGATGACATTCCTGAGGAAGGGGAGAATTGAATTCTATAGCTGTATTGCTATATTATTTGAGCCATATATTCTATTCTCATTCTTTTGTTTCTATGATCATATTATCATGTGAGAAAGCTGTATTACTTTCTTTCTTTCATGGCTATTTGTTGCAATGTTGATGTTGCCATTTGCACATTTTTTCTCCATGGCTGTATTGCCTTGGACTCCCTTCATATGAGGCTTGTTTAGCTTCTTGAGGCTATTGTATGTGGCTGGGTCATGTGGGAGGGGAGAATGACGTGAACCACAGGAATATTCCAAGAATATTTTATGGCCTGTGGGATTTAAAGCCATAACACCTTAAGAGTTGGGAGGTTGGCCTAGGGTTCACTCTCTTGTTCGTTTCACAATTGTTCATGCATAACACATTTGGAGCTCTCCAAGATCAAGATCACGGATGGTGGCAGAGGAGCTTGTATGGCAACACAGGTGAGTCTCTCTCCTCAGCCAAGCCAACTTGAGCATATGCTACAGGTTCACAAGCAGTTCCTGTGCATAATCAAGATGCCCGACTTGGGCACTATGGTGGAAGTGCATAAGCAGTGAGCATTACATTCCAGCAGGCAGGATCAAGCTCTGGCATTCTTTCAAAGAATGTCAATTACGTTTTAAGTCCGGAGTCTTACAATATGATTATACAATACAAAATGATATATATGGTCCTTTAAGCATGACAAAGTGCTCCCCTGCGAGTAGAGCTGCTCCACCACCATTTGTCCCGTCATTTGCTCCACTGCAAATGCCCACACCAATCTAACCATTGCCTGTTTGGCAGGTTCACATTAGTTACTTGGTTGATCTAGAAAAAAACACGAAGAAAAATCACTAATTGCTTACCAGTCTTCTGTTGATCATTTCTGGGCCAGCTCCATCAAACGCCATCAAGCTGGGGAACGATCGATCCCCAGTCTCTAGTCGCCTCTCAACCTCTGGCCTGGGATAGAGCGATCCGGACAATGGGACAGCTCCAAACACGGAGCGCTTCTCCGACTCGTTCTCAGCCTGGTTCTTGAGCACCTCCTCGCGGGTTATCTCCTTCTTGGTGCCGTCGAGAACGCCACTGATGCTGCCATCACCACCATCCCTTGATTTGTTCGAGGACGCTCTTACTACTACTAGATTTCTTGTCCCGATGGAGCATGTGGGCGATTGCGATTGGACATGGATCTTGTTGGAGATGAGCGAGGAAGAAGAGAGAGCTGCGATACCGCTGCCTGAGACGAGTGCCATTGTTTTGAGCTGCAAGTTAGCTAGCAAAAAATTCAACTGTGCAATGAGCTACTTTCTTTTACGTTTGAGATAAAGGTATTTATATGGTATGGGGACCGTACATGGCAAAATTTAGATCCTGGCTCATGTCCACTGTATGTGTCACACATCTTTTGCAGTGAAAATGGCCGAAGGTGAAACTTCTCTAGAGAATGGAAGGTGTGATATTTTGGGCTTTCATTTCGTTTTCCAATCGAATTCATACACAGGGATGCTCTTTTGTCTGCACAATAAGCATGTTAATGTAATGCTGTTACTTTAAAATATTAAACAAAATTGTGTTGCATTGTAGCAACCCTTGGTTTGTTTTTTGTTTTTAAATATTTTTTATTACTATATATCATTTGTTATAATCTGTCCAATATGCAGGTGTTATTCCTGCTTTTGTATATATTACATCTTTTATCCATATATGATTTAAATTCGGCTCCATATGTTTTTTTCATCTATTGGGTTGTAAAAAAATATGGAAAGTAAAAATATTATCATTCCCTACTTTTAAAAAAACTATGGCATTTTTAATGTAGATGTTAATGAAAGTAAGATATTTTCATGTGTTCAATTTTTTTAGCTTTGTAAGTTGCTTTTATAAATTCATGATGCTTGCTAGGGGAGACCTTTAGGTTATTTGGTAAAAAAGGAAAAACATAATTGCAATAACTCCTTTACATAAATATATATGTTTATAATAAATAGAAAAAATGCAACTTATAAGTGACTCAGACAAATCCACTAAATCCAAGACAATGATTCTTTAAACTTCTTATAATCCCTTGGGCTTGATTCAGCAGTTTATATAATCATTAAATTTGAGGAGTCTAATTCGTATGTATTCAAATAAACAAATATAATGCAATCCCTTTTGGAAATAGATAATTGCAAGCTTGTTTTGATTTTTCATTATTATTAATAAGCACTTCTTTGTCTCAAAATCTCATATGAATCAACATTCATGATATAAGCTGTTGTTGTTATCATGAGTGCAATATTTATTTTTTATTTGATTTTACAAGACAAAGTTCCTCTCTATACAGATGTGTTGGTTTAAAACTCACCCAGGCGTTTTGGTTCTTCAAGACTGTACGAGTTTTCCATGATTTTCTCTTTTGTTTCTCTCAACTCGTTTCTTTTTCTTTCTCGTGATATACAGGAGAGATAGTCGAGTAGACATGCTCTCAAGTAACCTTCCTTGGCATTTGCCATGTTTTTTTGCAAGTCCATCAAGACCTCCAGCAAGTTTTCGAGTGAATCTGATTAGATCTTGCTTATTAGACATGTCATACATAACTATATACACAATTGTTTCAGGAAAAAACAGCATCCCCATATGCCAATTGCGAAATGAAACGTTAGTTCTAAAATATCACACCTTGCAAACCCTTGAGAACTTTTACCTGTGGCCATTTTCACCGCACAAGATGCGACACATACAGTGGACACGAGCCGAAACCTCGATTTTGCCACGTATGGAAAGTCAATTTTGCCACGTTATACAATCCCCACTCCGTATAAATAGCTTTGTGTCATTTGCCATCAGAAAGTAGCTCGTTGTTGCACTGTTGAATTTTGTTCTAGCTAGCTCCCAGCTCAAAACAATGGCACTCGTCACAGGCAGCGGTATCGCAGCTCTCTCTTCTTCCTCGCTCATCTCCAACAAGATCCATGTCCAATCGCAATCGCCCACAAGCTCCATCGGGACAAGAAATCTAGTAGTAGTAAGAGCGTCCTCGAACAAATCAAGGGATGGTGGCGATGGCGGCATCAGTGGCGTTCTCGACGGCACCAAGAAGGAGATAACCCGCGAGGAGGTGCTCAAGAACCAGGCCGAGAACGAGTCGGAGAAGCGCTCCGTGTTTGGAGCCGTCCCATCGTCCGGATCCTTCTATCCCAGGCCAGAGGTCGAGAGGCGACCAGAGACTGGCGATCGATCGTTCCCCAGCTTGATGGCGTTCGATGGAGCCGGCCCGGAAACGATCAACGGAAGACTGGTAAGCGATTGGTGATTTTTCTTCTCGTTTTTTTCTAGATCAACCAAGTAACTAACGTGAACTTGTCAAACAGGCAATGGTAGGATTGGTGTGGGCATTCGCAGTGGAGCGAATGACGGGACAAACGGTGGCGGAGCAGCTCTACTCGCCGGGGAGCACTGGTCTTTTCCATTTTCTGGCGGTGGCACAGCTATTCGCGTACGCGTCGCTGGTGCCCATGTTTAAGGGCGAGAGCCCGGACAGCAGATCGTTTGGGCCATTTAGAGCCATGGCGGAGCGCTGGAATGGGCGAACCGCGATGCTTGGCTTCCTCGCCTTGGTGATCACCGAGTTTTTCACCAAGACTCCAGTGTTTCACATTATGTAAATTTAATGGTTCCTAGTTTAAACTGTTCTAGATTTTCACTTCACTACATTGAAGCTTCTTTACAAAGATTGCTGCGTGAACGATGCTCTTTCGAATCGAAATTGACAAAGATTCTTGTGTCTTCATTACGCTAGAGTTCTCAAGCTCCAACGAAACACCATCCCCGAGATTCCCGCCCGCAAGAATCCTAAAAACTTGATGGAGCCAAGCAGTGTGTTGAGTCTGGAGCAGCCGCTGGTCCAGGTAGAGCAAGGGAGGGTCAAGAAATTCGGTGGCGATGGCGCCCTCGTGAGCGAAGAGGTGTCACAATTCCTCCTGGGTGAGCTTCTTTTCGAGATCCAAAGGCACGGCAGCGCTTACGGCAGTCTCAAAGGAACTACGCGGGCATGGCTCCTCATGGCTTTGCTCTCCAACTTACTCGCGCGATTCTCTCCAAAGCCCGGAGAGCTCATCGACGGAGAACCACGGAAGTACAAAGCCAAAGCCACCTCCGCTCGCTGCGAGCAGGAGCTTAACGACGTGATCAAATGCCACACTCACGATTTCAAGCTAGACAAGAGTCTTCCCAGCGCTGTTCTTGTGGTGGTGCAAGGCGGGAGGGACGAACCCAAGTGGCCGGACAGCATGTACCAGGCACTGAGCCAGGCGGGCATGGGGGCAGCGATCAGGAACTCGTCGGCAAACAGGCTCCACTGCCTGGTGCTCGGCGATGGCTGGTGGGGCTGTGCAGAGATCCATCCTCTCGGCTACGTGATGGTCAAGCCTGGCAAGCCCGGAAACAAGATCTCGAGCAAGGAATTCAGACGTCAGCTTGAATCCAAAGGGACGATCAAAAGCGGTAGTGCCAAGCTCCTCTCGGAGAGCTTCCAGCGCTATCCAGACAAGAAGAGCTTGTTGGTGGAGCTGGAGGAACGAGTGAGGCTGCAAACCGAGGAGGCGGCCAGGGCACTCAACGCCAGGATCGTTTTCGACAAGATTGTGCACAACGAGGATATCGAACGCAGCTTCTCGCCTGTGACTGAGAAGAGAAGACTGCTGCTCGTAGGAGCGATTGTTTGTGACAGCACGGTCTACGAGAGCAGCATTCTGAGCTTCCCGGTGGCGCGCAAGGTAAGCGCCAATGACAAGCTTCTTGTTTCGGGTCTCCTCCGGATGTTTTTTGGCAACCGGGTGCTGCACTGGACGCTCCCCGGGATCCAGACACTGGTTGCCACACGCGACAAAGAGCTTAAAGAAAGAGTGAATGGCGTGCTAATGCCGTAGACTTTGTTACGCTGGCGTAGAGTTTCGTGCTGCCGAGAATCGATAGCCATGAACAATCACGACGAAATGGTCGAAGTTTGAGATCTTGCTTAGAACTAGGAGACCATCATGTTGGCTGCAAGGACATAACCAGTAGCTCCTCTCGGATCCTTGTCAATGACATTCTTGGCAACGAAATTCCCAAACTCAACGGAGGATCTGTAGCTCCTACATGCCCCCAAGAGGCACTTCCAGTCCACAGTCTCGGGCTCGAAGGGCATGGTTTTGAGCAGCTCCTGGGCAGAATGCAAATACCCGGCTCTCCCCAAGACATCGATCATGCACCGAAAGTGGAGCTTCACGGGCTGTACATGGAAGTCCATCTCTATCGACACGAAGCAAGATCTTGCCGCGTAGACGCTGCCAACGTGGCTGCATGCCACGAGCGCACAGCCAAAGCATCCATCCACGGACACGTCCATGGCGTTCATGGAGTGGAAAACGTATAGTGCCTCGTCGGACCTGCCGTTGTGTGCGTAAGCTGCAAGCAGTGTGGTCCATGCAACCACGTCCCTTTCGGGCATACGCAAGAACAAGGACCCGCAACGACAAAAATGCCCATTAAGGGCAAATGCGGTCATAAAAGCAGTCCACGACACCAAATCATGATTTGTACCACTTTCAAACAGATATTTGGCTTCTAATACACATCCATTTTCCGCAAACGCGCTGACCATTGCTGTTTTTATTTCAGTGCTCTCAATATGTGCAGCTCTGGAAAATTGTCTTGCCTCGTCTAGGTGCCCCATTCGGGCGTATGCAGAAATTAATGCGCATAATGATACAGTGTTTTGCTCCGGCATAGTTTCAAAATAGATTCTCGCTTCCTCCAATTGGCCCCTGCAAGCAAGACACGATACCACAGTATTCCAGGATACCATATTTTTCTCGAACGCAGAATTGAAAAGGTCCATGACTCGCTCAAAATCCCCATTCGTGGCATATGCAGTCAAAAACTTTGTTCCACGTTACAATATCTTTTTCAAAAATATAATCGATCATTTAATTTCTGCATTCTATTAGCTTTCGCCAAGGCTGCTAGCACGGAATTGCACGCCAAAGTGTTCCAATACGGCATGCAGTACGGCAATCGTAAGGATTCTTCCAAATACCCATACTGAGCAGCTGCGGCAACTATGGTTGTCCACGACACTATATCTCTCCATGGCATCCGGTTAAATATTTTCTTTGCCTAATCTACGTGACCATTGTTACTATACGCAGCCAAGTAAACGAGGTCGTGTAGAAAGATACTTTGGGCATATTCTGGGTATCCGGCGTCGGCATATGCTCTGACCATGGAAGTCCACGAGGCTAGATTCCCCTCCGGCATGTCCTCAAACACGAGCTTGGCAGCATCTAATTTGCCGCAGTCTAAGTAGAGACCCAGCATTGTGTTCCAAGAAACTAATTCCTCTGGGGCATGTTCTCCCAAACCTTTTGGGCATCATTTGGCATGGCCATAGCTGAATCTCTCGGCCTGGTTTGCGAGCCGGATCGTGGCGTACGCCGCAAGCAAAGTATTGAAGCATGCAAGATCTCTTTCGGGAATCAGATCAAAGATATTCTCTGCTAGAGAGAGCGAGACGGCTCGAGCGTACCCTGCGAGCATTGCAGTCCACGGAACAAGATTGTGCAAAGGCATAAGATGAAGCAGTTCTCAGGCGCTATCAAGATGCCCAGCTTGGGCATAAGCAGAGATAATGGTGGACCATGAAATGAGATTCTGCTGAGGTATGCTCTCAAAGGTTTGATGGGCTAAATCTAGCAATCGGTATCGTGAACAAGCCGCAAGAATTGCATTACAGCATGCAGTATCTAGCTGAGGCATTCTTTTGAAACCATGTTTCGCGTCCAGCAATTGCCCTTTCCTGGCATAATCACATATCGTAACCGTGCTCGATGATATAGAGGCCATTTTATCACATTGTTTTTGCCACGTAAGATTTTAGCCTTGTGTGTGAGGTATGTAGCTTTCCATTGAAGTGAAAAATGGCTGTTTCACATAGTAAATTGTTATTACGGTTTAAGCATGATGAGTCATTCTTGTACACATATTTATAATGTATTATTGAATAGGTAATCGATTTGGTTCCGGTAGCGCATTAAAATGGCGTCCCTGCGAAGCTTGGTTGCCTTTGGTCCTGTACAGACAGCAAAAGTACGTTAGATGAATCTCACAAAACAAAACCAAAGAATACAAAGTACCTGACCGACAACCATGATTTGATCAATAAGACTGCTGCCTCTTCAATCTCTGTTGGCTCCACATTCTCACCTGAAAAATGATTCTCATGAATACTTGAGAAAAGCAAACGCTTACACCATAACCTGTTGAGAGAACACTAGTTTCTTTTGCACGCCCCTCCAAGACTAACATTCCTCCACATTTTCTAGCAGCGCCAGTTTTCCACACTGGGGCGACCCAGCCAAGATCACCCGTGTCAAGCCAGCCATCACCGTCTATGGCTTTTTGTTGCATCGGGATTCTACGCGACAACAAAACTGAGCGAGATGTGATGCAAGAGTGAAACTCGAAAGCAATGGACCACGAACCATCACTATTCCTTTGTTTCCATTAGTCAACGTTTTCCTGCTTTCGGGATCCCCAAGAAGTTAGAACGAGAGCATGCGCAGCACCACAACGCACAGCACTAACAGCTCCCAAAAGGACGGAGCCGCGTCCTCCTGTTGTGAATGGTTATGGTTTGACAGAGTCCTCTCCCGTAGTGTCAACTCGAGCTTTTTCCGACAATGTAAGTTCTATTCGAGCTGCTCACACAGAGACTCCAACATGATTAGGTTTTCTTGCTCTCAGGTTCTCGGAACAGTTGGAATGCCTCTTCCAGAAACTGAAGTAAAAATTGTTGCTCTCGCTGCTCGTTTTCAAGTTCTGGAAGCGCGCCAAAGGGATGACGAGTTTTCGCGCAGCGACGACAATCCACACTCACAGCTTTCACGCAGCCCAGCAGGGAGTGCTCGTTTTGCTGCATCCACATCATCAAGACAAGTAAGCATTTTCCATGGCTGGAAACCAGGTTTCCAAGCGCTTGGAGGTTGTCTCTGAGCTCCTTATCGCAAGCTCAATCCAGGAGTCACGCATGGCCATGGCTTGTCTTGGTTATGGCCAGCTACCCAGCTATACAGTGTTTGCTCATGATCTTGCTTCAGCAGCAGAGTCATGACGATGGTGTGCTCAACAGGTCCAATGAGGTAAGCTTTCTCGCGTACGCTGGTAAAGCACACAAGAGAAGCCAAGTGTACATTCCTCGACCTCAATCAAGATATATCGGGCTCACAACTCTACGGCTAAGACTTTATGCCTCTGCAGCGTCAATTGGTGATCATCAAGGGATCATGGGGCAGTGCAATCTTCACGCTCCAGAGCTCGGCTTTATTCCCGGATGTGGATCGAAGTCCTGCAACTCTAGCGTAAGAATACTCTCCATACTCCTTGGCTCAGTGGTTCCGAGTCCGGCATACTCTTTTCCACTAAATGTAAGTCTATCTTTTCCTGGTTCCACACTTAACACTTGGCTTCCATAGGTTGCGTAGCCAGAGCTGGCAAGTGGTGCTCGTTCTCTCTTCTGGTGATCTTTCCCCGTGGACTTGTGTGGAGCTCCAGGTGCCGAGTTATCCATTACTGTTTGAGTTGGCGGTGCTCAAACTCAACACAGTTAATCCGCAGCTTCCAATCACCCCACTGCTTATCAAGCTAGTCTGCGTCAACTTTCAAGGAGATTACAGTACTACTAACTGTAAGGTGTTTGTGTTTTTGTTTGCATCATCCTTTGGTTTGAAGTTCCAGCGATCTATGAGCGGGAAGTACATCGCGACATTGTGCCTGAGCGAGGAAAACAAGAAGCTCCTTGGTTCCTTGGTGCTCGGCTGCTGCTCAACGATGATGAAAGCCCTCCATGCTCTTTACGGTTTTATGGCGCTCTTCCCTCCGGGACTTGTGTTGAGCTCCAGGCGCCGATTTATCCATCACTGATTGAGCGAGTGTCGCTTTATGAACCATATCGTAAACTGCACTTCAGATTTTCGTTCTTTACGATAATTGACGAGAATTGCTTTGCAGGGGTTTACGCACTCAGTGTCTTGGACATTCTGGACGCTCTAACTGGACGATTTCATACTGGCAAACCCCAGCATTTGCTGGTTATCGGGGAGCGGAGAGTCACACAGATGTTTGGGCCCCGCTCGTTTTGTGTCATCGACATCAGCAAGATCACGCTCAAGACAAGTAAGATTTTGTCATTCTTTTTATAGAATCATGCCCCTTAGTTTTGTTTTTTACTGTTTTGACAGTGTCGGGGCTTACTTTCCCGTGGCATGGCAGCCTTCGTGCTTTGGAATCGACACTCCCTGATGATGACGATGCTTATACAGATTTAAGTACTCTTCCAAATTCCTTGTGGATTTTAGCTCTGAATTTATGTGTTGATTGAGCAGGAGGTCTTTAACATGTTTATTAATCTTATTCACGAGTCATAAGGGGGCTGGAAATAATTTACATGTACGTTTGAATTCAATTTTCATTCGATGTTTTTTGGTTCTTTTATATTAATTTGCGAATGCAGGAACTATAAATTAGACTCCTCAAATTTATTGATTATATAAACAGCTGAACCAAGCCCAAGGGATTATAAGAATTTTAAAGAATCATTGTCTTGATTTGTGTGAATTATTTATAAGTTGCATTTTTTTCTATTTATTATAAAACTTTATATATATATATATATATATATATATATATATATATATATATATATATGTAAAGGAGTTAATACAATTAGTTTTTTCCTTTTTACCAATTAGTAAATACTCTAAAGGTTTCCCCTAGCGAGCATTATAAATTTATAAAAACAACTTACGAAGCTAAACGAATTAAAGACATGAAAATATCTTGGCAAGTACTTTCATTAACATCTCCATTAATAATGACATATTTTTTAAAAGTAGGGAATGATAATATTTTTACTTTCTATATTTTTCACTTTACAAAAAAAATGGAAATAAAATGAAAAAACCAAGCTCATTATGAAAAGCAATCACTAGGCTATTACAATAATAGTTCGATCACATATAAGCAAAAGAAAATCTTCCCCCACTCCATTTAATAGAGTCTACTAATGAATGTTCATTCTTTTCTTAACGATACTTTTTGAAATAAATGGGTAAGAATCAATGGATATTAATTTTTTTCCTTTATTGGATGCTCAAGTAATAATAGTATTTTATATGTTTATATTTATATTTATCTAAAATTTTAATTAGCTAGCTTAAACTTGGATCAACACCATGCCATCACAACTCCACTGGTTATTCTCAGGATGATTGCCACGAGGTCACCTTAATTTTGAGGAGCCACAAGCCGAGTAAATAGAAATGTCAAACTGTGTCTCAAATGAAAGAGGGATTGGGTGACATAAGTCCTCACATCGTTCTCACGGTAAAGAAACACGATAGCTTCAATGTAGTGAAGTGAAAATCTAGAACAGTTAAACTAGGAACCATTGAATTTACATCATGTGAAACACTGGAGTCTTGGTGAAAAACTCGGTGATCACCAAGGCGAGGAAGCCAAGCATCGCGGTTCGCCCATTCCAGCGCTCCGCCATGGCTCTAAATGGCCCAAACGATCTGCTGTCCGGGCTCTCGCCCTTAAACATGGGCACCAGCGACGCGTACGCGAATAGCTGTGCCACCGCCAGAAAATGGAAAAGACCAGTGCTCCCCGGCGAGTAGAGCTGCTCCGCCACCGTTTGTCCCGTCATTCGCTCCACTGCGAATGCCCACACCAATCCTACCATTGCCTGTTTGACAAGTTCACGTTAGTTACTTGGGTTGATCTAGAAAAAAACGCGAAGAAAAATCACCAATCGCTTACCAGTCTTCCGTTGATCGTTTCCGGGCCGGCTCCATCGAACGCCATCAAGCTGGGGAACGATCGATCGCCAGTCTCTGGTCGCCTCTCGACCTCTGGCCTGGGATAGAAGGATCCGGACGATGGGACGGCTCCAAACACGGAGCGCTTCTCCGACTCGTTCTCGGCCTGGTTCTTGAGCACCTCCTCGCGGGTTATCTCCTTCTTGGTGCCGTCGAGAACGCCACTGATGCCGCCATCGCCACCATCCCTTGATTTGTTCGAGGACGCTCTTACTACTACTAGATTTCTTGTCCCGATGGAGCTTGTGGGCGATTGCGATTGGACATGGATCTTGTTGGAGATGAGCGAGGAAGAAGAGAGAGCTGCGATACCGCTGCCTGTGACGAGTGCCATTGTTTTGAGCTGGGAGCTAGCTAGCAAAAAATTCAACTGTGCAATGAATTTCCTTTCTTTAAGCTTTTTTTCCAATTCTAGAATATTCTTTCTAAAGGGCACACAGATATTTATACGGTATGGGGACCGTACGTGGCAAAATTTAGACCCTGGCTCGTGTCCAGTATGTGTGGCACATCTTGTGCGGTGAAAATGGCCGAAGGTGAAACTTCTCTAGAGAATGCAAGGTGTGATACTTTGGGACTTTCGTTTCGTTTTCCAATCGAATTCGTACACGGGGATGCTCTCTTGTCTCCACAATAAGCGTGTTAATGTAATGCCGTTAGAAAGACTTGAGAGGCCGTCTGGCGCATCAAACACGACTATCTCCCCTGTATCACGAGAAAGAAAAAAAGATGAGTTAAACAAGGTTAAAAAAAGATTTCGTGATCCACTTGAGAGCTAGTTATTTAGTGTGGCACATTTCAAAGGGATTCTCAGTATTGTTGTAATCACACATTCAAGTTCTACTACCATCTAGAGGAATTCCCTCTTTCTGATGATGTTATATATGCTCTAACTTCTCAAGATCAACCTTCTAAGTTACCTTCATTCAACAAGGATGCACTCAATTTGCATGTGTTTGGAAAGATTACTAGGATCACTGCAAAGACAAAGAAAACAAATGCACTTTCTAGTCCTCGTTCCTTATTTTGTGATGTAAAATGTTGGGAAAAAGTCCAATAATGGCAAGCTTACTCATTCTTGCAAACAATCACAAAAACTTTTGCTAATGAGTGCAAGTATAGAGCTGATTTGTTGGGAGTTGAGTAAACTTGATGTTAGGTGTCAAGCATCTTTACATGCACTTGGATTCTTTGCTTCTTTGCAAGCAACTAATTGGGAAGCTCCAGCTTCAACATCTTGGATTGCAAGTTTTTCATAAGAAACTACCATCACCTCTTGGCTCAATTGTCATCATGGAATTCCTTACACATAAAATGGTGTCAATGATATGCCAATGAAGCAAGGGTTGTAGAAGACTAAGACAATCCATCCCACGGATTGCAACACAATAATGAACTTGATCAAATTGAAGATGCAAGTCTTTGTTGGCTGAATTGGCAACAATTCTTTTGGATTTGCCTATTAAATGCAGTGAGCAAAAACTATTGTTTGGCGGGAAGGAATTGACAATGAGGGGAAAGCACTAAAAGATTTCCTTCGTGAGTTCATAGATGTTTTTACATGAGATTACTTGGAGCTGAAAGGCATTTCATCAGACATTATTATCCACAATTGAAGCAAGCTCAAAGTCAACTCAATGAGCCATTGGTCAAGAAAAAAGTTCACAAGTTGATGAGGAAGGCACATGTATTCCTTTTCCCCATTAAGGAATGCTTGGCGATCTACAAAATCAAATTTCTCTCTTGATTTTTTTTGTCTCTTCTCTCTCTTTTTTTGTTCCTGGCATTCATGGAAGCTGATAAAGGATTGCAACACAGACATTTTCTAGAACACCAATGTAAAAATGCTAGTTGAATGTTTTCTGTCAATTGTTCTGAGATACAAAAGGATTGTATGCAACACAGTGATTGGTACGAGACAGGAGGAGATATTTGCTATGGAAGAGGGGCTTGAGCAAGCCACATGAGATTTCTTTTAAAATCTGAGCCTAAGCTTTGTCAACAGGGACAACATCACTTTTCTGGTATATCCAAAAAGTGATTTTTATCACTGTTGATTGGATTAGATTTGTTTATTGAATGACAGCTTCAACCAGGTTGACAGATTCAACTTGGCACTACAAGCTATCAAGTATTTTTCAAAGTCATAGCCTGTTTGTTCAAGATATATAGACATCTTTGGAGTCACTACAGCACATGGTGATGTTTAGGCACAGGACCATATTATAAAGCTTCCTGATGGTTTCTAAGCTAAGTGATAAGTTTCTCTGGCACCACCACAGCACGACCATGGCTGATAATTAATTGCAGCTCACTAGGAGCTTGGTGGAGAGTAGTTGCAAGCTGTTTTGCCAAGGTGTTGTTGTGGAAGTAGTGCTGCAGAGATGACATGATGGTGCGATCCAATAAGGATGGTGTGCCAAGAGATGGCAAGAGATGGTGAGATGCTTGAACTTACATAGCTTCAAGCACCAGGTGGTTTTACAATTTAACTGCCTGCAGCTTCTTTGAGCTTGTACACAGGAAGAGCTATAGGATCAGTCATTGTCTTAAAGCTAGAAGGCAATGGAGGAACTTAGACTGTTGAACGGGCTACGACCAGGTTCTCCATGTTGAGCAGGCGGGAGTTATGCGTTCTTGACAATCTACATCCGAGAAGGAAAGAAAAAGCAGAAAACTAAAGATTGACTGGCAAAGGGAGAAAAAGAAACCCAACCGCCTCGACAATGAAAGCTCTCCGTGTCATCGCATAAACGAGGTCGTTAGTAGTACTTATGAAAGACTTGGCTTACCATAGCTGGCAGCCAGTACATTGAGTGGTCCCACAAGCAGTCACACAGTCAAGATGCATAAACAGAAGATGAGGTGATTTCAACTATAAAAACCATTATCAATCCAACACTCACCCACACCATGGCTAATCTTACTGTTCTCATCCTTTTCTCTGTCTTTGGCATCTTTTTTGTGTGCGCTGCAGGACTCACTCACTCAAACGAATGGTTCAATGGCAAAGATCCATTTTCGAAAACTTCATCGCTTCTCCAGTTTCGCTGGATCTTGGTAGCAGCGGCTTCTGCAGTGCTGCTGGCATTCGGTGCAACGACACTGGCCTTTCACCCTGTTCCAACAAGCCTTACCGCCGAAGACTCCTCGATGCCGAGCTCGATGGCGCCCTGGTCTGCGACCCTGTTCGATCGATTCAGGTTGTCAACACTCGCCGCTTCTTCCATCTCAGTGAATTCACGCCGGGGTCTCTTTTCACGTTCCCAGCCTTCTACAATGCCCCAGCCACGCGATTCCTCGCTCATCCCCTCGCCGCGAAGATCTCATTGGACCCGCAGGAGCTTCCGGTCACCATGGCCACTCTCCACATTGTCAACGCCCCCGTCATGAAGCTCTTCATGGTGTCGACGCTCTCTGCGTGCGCGCATGCTCCATCTTCCATCGAGACCAAGAGATGCACGCCGAGCTTGAGAGAGCTCTCTAGCTTCGTTTCGGTAGCCCTGAACACCACGTCCCCGGTGGTTCGCGGCTCCAAAGGCACTTCCCACATGGATCAGCTGCTAGCCAACAAGCAAGTGCAAGTTCGCAAGCTGGCAGAAATCGTCCCGGTTTCAAAGCCTCACGTCGCGTGTCACAGGATGGCGTATCCTTTCATGCTGCACTACTGCCACATGGTACAAGGTACCCACGTTTTCTCTGTTACGATTGCCACCCACCACGATGATGAAGTCGAATACTTGCTCGAGTGTCACACCATCACCAAGTACATGAAGCCCGGCAATGCGATCCTCAACCAGCTGGGTCTCAAGCCAGGAGAAGGCGAGTTCTGCCACCTTGTTGAATCGTCCGCTCTCATCTTCACAAACTAAAAGTGACCAAGTGTTCTCTTCCATAGTTACCGCTCTCATCAAACTGTGTTCTCTATATACGCTCTTAGCAATATATTACATTGACGGAGACACTAGGTCTCCATTTTTGTCCTGTGAGGGCGAGGGGGAACACTCTTTGTGCGTGGAAAGGTTGGTTTTAAAAAACTAGCAGCGCTAGCCATGGCGGCATCACCATTCTTCGTGGCCTCGGCATGGAGCGCCACTACTTTTCGTTGGCTGGATCCACTCTTTGCCACCGGGAACCGAAAGCCGCTCGAGCACTCCGACCTCGCATCTCTCGGCAAAGTGAATCTGGCGTCGGCGAGCTTGGACGCATTCCAGAGGCAAAGACGCCGCCGCTGCGGCCCGGCGATGATCTCTTCCAGTCGCGGGCTGTCTCTAGCTTGGGTGTTGATCCTGGCGCACTGGAAGCAAGTGGTAGTGACTGGCGGCCTCTCGCTGCTGCTGCTTCTCGTCTCGTTCGACAACCCCTCTTGATTACCGACTTCGTGTCCCGGTCCCCGGCGGCCCGCGGATACGCACTCGCGGCCGCCTTCATGGCTGCCAAGCTCGCCACCAATCTCCTGGAGCGGCAGCACAACTTTCGCATCCAGGTGATGGACCTCTACGTCCAGTCGTCGCTCAAGGCGTTTGTGTTCTGGAAGGCGATGGAGACGGGGGCGGCGGCGGCTCCATCCATCACCTTGGTGTCGTCGGACGTGCTCGAGGTGGGGGTCTTTTGCTGGCATCTCCATGACTTCTGGACGCTCCCGCTCCAGTTTATCATCGGAATTCTGGTGCTCTACAGGGACGTGGGAGTCGCGGCCCTGGCCAGCTTTGTGTCGCTGGGAGTTTGCATAGCGTGTAGCTTCCCGCTGGGAAAGAAGCAGGCAAGTTTCCAGGGGCGGGCCATGAAAGCCAAAGGCGCTCGACTGAGAGCTACGTCCGAGGCGCTGAGGAGCATGAGAACGCTCAAGCTCCACGGGTGGGAGACTAGCTTTCTCCGGGAGGTGGAGAAGCTTAGAGCTGGCGAGTACCAGGAGCTTCAGCGGTGTTTCTTTGTGCGAGCGCTGTCCAAGTTCGTGTTTAGAGTCACGCCCACGGTGATGGCCGTCTTGACGCTAGTAATGTCCGTCGTCATCACCTCCTCTCGCCATAGCTTGACGTCCGGAAAGCTTCTCTCCACGCTCGCGGTGTTCCGGCTCCTCCAGAACGTCCAGAGCAAGCTCCCGGGGTTTGCTTCTTCGGTGGTGGATGTTTGGGTGTCGCTGGATCGGCTGTCAGAGTTTTACCAACGCGAGGACGTGACTTTCCAACCCAAGCAGCTCATGAGCGGTGGAAGAAACGCCATCGAGATAAGTCGAGGGGTGTTTAGCTGGGATAGAAATGCCGCCACCCCCACACTCGATGCCGTCACTTTGGACGTGGTGGAGGGAAGCTTTGTAGTCGTCTCTGGAGGAGTTGGATCGGGGAAGTCGAGCTTGCTCTCGTCCATCCTCGGCCAGATTCCAAAGCTTTCGGGAGAGGTACGTTTTCTTCAGTTCCTAGTTTTGTTCTCTTAGAAAAAACTGTTTTTGCTGTAGGTGCGAGTGAGAGGCACCACAAGTTACACTTGCCAATCAGCGTGGATCCAGAACGCGACCATCAAAGAGAACATACTCTTTGACAGCGCCATGGACAAGCCCAGGTACGAGAGGGTCATTGCGGCATGCCAGCTGAAGAAAGATCTAGAGATGCTAAGTCACGGCGACGGAACTCACATTGGAGATCGAGGAGTAAACCTGAGCGGAGGCCAGAAGCAACGGCTTCAGCTTGCAAGGGCCGTGTACAAAGACGCGGACATTTATCTCTTGGACGACCCCCTCAGCGCTCTGGACGTAAAAACCTCCAACTTGATACTCAAGGTACTCTTTTGTGTTCTTTGTGGACATTACAAACATTTTCCTGATAGGAATGCATTCTCGGACTGCTGCAAAACAAGACAGTGTTGCTGGTAACTCATTTTCAAGAGGCTGCCAAGCAAGCAGATAAAACGATCGTAGGCCTCTTCTCTTATCAGACTTTCGCGTGCTTTCTTATCTTTGGTTCTCCAATTTCTACAGGTTCTACAGGAGGGAACAGTAAAGATACTTGATCATCTGGTCGACAAGGCCTTTCCACACAGCTCTTTTGACAATTATGCAGCGACCGAGCAGAATCAAGGAGAGACAAGCATAGTTTCGTCCAAGCAAGAAGGAAAGCTGGCCGAGGAGACACAAAGAGGGAGCGTTAGCGGGAAGATATACTGGGTTTACATTACTTCTCTATACGGAGGAGCCTTGGTTCCACTCATACTTGCTTTCGAGGCTATCCGGCAAGGGACAGACGCAGCTGCTACTTGGTGGATTGCCGACATGAATCCAAAGTTGGATAGCTCCCAGCTCGTCATGGTCTACTTTGTGTTGTCTCTCGGGAGCTCTCTGGCTCTTCTATGCCGGGTTTTACTCGTCTCCTTCGTGGGGCTCAAGACTGGACAGTGCTTCTTCCTCAAGCTGTATCGCTCCGTTTTCCTGGCAACCATGTCCTTCTTCGATCTCACTCCAGTGGGGCGCATTTTAACTCGAGTATGTATGTGGTTCTTTTACGTGTTTTAAGCTTACATGCAGAGTTTGGTTTACAGGCTTCCACAGATCAAAGCTCCATCGATCTTTACGTGCCGGAGAGATTCTCCGAGCTTGCGTTGTTTGCGATGGATCTGCTCGTAATTCTCGTTGTGACGTGCAGTGTTGCTTGGCCGATTCTATGGGTGTTTATCTTCTTGACTATCGTGGGATATAAGCTACAGGTAACATTGTCACTATTGTATGTTTTTTCATTGCTTGTGTGGTTTCTAACAGTCGTTTTACATCAAAACTATTCGCGAGCTGCCTAGACTTGTGGAGCTCCAACGCGCTTCCGTGGTTCATCACCTCGAAGAAACACTAACCGGTCTCTCCACGATCAAAGCCTTCAAACAAGAGCTGCCGTTTCTCAACAAGATGCTACAGCTGATCGATGACAACAACTGTCCCCAGTTTTACAACTTCTCCGCCATGGAATTCCTGGCCTTGAGAGTTGGCTTGGTTGCGGACATGGGTTTCGTCTTCCTCATGCTCTTCCTGGCCAGCATTCCGACCAGTGCAAGTAAGTCTATAGTTTGAATCCTTCGCTCTTTTTCTCTTTCCTTTGTTTATGCTCAGTAAAATCTTTTGGCTTCACAGGCTCCGCAGGTGTTGCTGTCACGTATGGCTTGAAGCTAACTACAACTTTGACATGGACTCTGTGGAGTCGAATTGACACCGAGAAGAGAATTATTTCGGTGGAACGCGTAATGCAGTACGCTGGTTTACGTAGCGAGGCGAGAAATCAATCCCAGCCCCCTCAAACCTGGCCAGAAAATGGAGCTATAGACTTCATTGGTCTCAAGGTACGGAGTCCGATCTCTTGCCTTTTTTTTTTTTCTAAAAAAACAAACCGAAGGTGAGATATACACCAGAGGCGCCTCTAGTTCTCCGCGGGATCACTTGCGGATTTTCGGGCGGAAGCAAAGTTGGAGTCGTAGGCCGCACAGGTAGTGGAAAATCGACACTGATTCAAGCACTCTTTCGAATTGTGGAGCCAAGGTCGGGTCGGATTTTGGTTGACGGGCTGGACATTACCACCGTCAACTTGCACAGCTTGAGATCCAGGCTGAGCATCATCCCGCAGGATCCAGTGCTGTTTGAAGGAAGTTTCAGGTACAACCTGGATCCAGTCGGCCAGTATTTGGATCACGAAATCTGGGAGGTAAACTTGTATACAACCTTGAACTTCGAAATTTCGTTTTTATCTTCTTTCCTAGGTGCTTCGAAAGTGTGAGCTTGTGGCAACGATCACGGCCAAAGGAGAAGGTTTGGATTCCAAAGGTTAGTATTTCTTGCATTAAGCCTTCACTGATTATCTTGGTAACTCGTAGTGTCTGGAAGTGGGGAGAATTGGAGCATGGGTGAAAAGCAGCTACTTTGTCTAGCAAGGATCATGCTCAAGAGAACAAAGATTGTGGTTCTAGACGAAGCAACTGCCACGATTGATGGCGCCACGGAGAGAATCATCCAAGAAAAAATAAGCGAGCATTTTCAAAGCAGCACCGTCCTCACGGTGTCTCACAGGCTCTCCACCATCGTGCAAAACACAGAACGAGTTTTGGTTCTCCAAGACGGTAAGCATCCAAAGCTTTATTCTCTTGGAACTCTTTCCTTAACTTCTTTCTCGTGATACAGGAGAGATAGTCGAGTTTGATGCACCGGGCGTTCTCTCGAGCAAACCTTCCTCCATATTTGCCAGTCTCTTGCGAGAGTATCAAGATTTCCGGCAAGCTTTCTAATGGCATTACATTAACACGATCAATCTGGCTTATTGTTTCAGACAAAAGACATAATCGTGTACGAATTCGATTGCAAAATAAAACGAAAGTTGCAGAGTATCACACCTGGCATTCTCTTACCTTCGGCCATTTTCAGCACAAGATAAGCGATACAGTGGACACGAGCCGATGATCCTCGCACCGTATAAATATCTGTCTGTCATTTGCCATAGTCATCTCAAACGTAGAAACACAGTAGCTCATTGTAAATTCACTGCACAGATGATTTTTTGCTAGGCAGCTCTCTCTTCTTCCTCAACAAGCTCCACCTCTTCGCAATCGCCCACGAGCTCCATCAGTTTGCGAAATCTAGCAGTACTGAGAGCGCCCTCGGATGGTGGCGATGGCGGCATCATCGGCGTTCTCGACAGCACCAAGAAGGAGATCACCCGCGAGGAGGAGCTCAGGCCGAGAACGAGTCGGAGAAGCACTCCGTGTTTGGAGCTGTGCCATCGTCCGGATCGCTCTATCCAAGGCCAGAGGTCGATCGAGAGGCGACCAGAGACTGGCGATGGATCAGATTGATGGCGTTCGATGGAGAAACGATCAACGGAAGACTGATAAGCCATTGTTGATTGTTCTTTTCGTGGATCAAGCAAGTAACGAACGTGAACTTGACAAGCAGCCAATGATTGGGTTGGTGCGGAGCGCTGGAACGGGCGAACAGCAATGCTTGGCTTCCTCGCCTCGACAAAACGTAATTGAACAACTTCATAATCACATATGGTCAATGCCAGAGTACGATACAGATAGCCCATCAAACCTCATAACCTTATTTCCTGATTTGCCTCCGCTTATGCCCATCCTGATAACGCCCGGGAGCTGCATACAATCTTGTGGACTGCGATTCTCGCTCGCTATAGAGAGTATCTTTGATCTAAAGATCTTGTATGCTCCACTCGCGTAGCCAAGGAATATTGATTTAATAAAAAAAAAACATTAGATCCAAATGTTAAGCCAGATAGCTAGTTATTCCAACACAAATTGTCGTAATTCCACCCAAGAAATCGCTGTTGAAACAAAGCAATCACTCATGAAACCAATTATTACATATTGCTCCTAGAATAAAGTTCTTAACCTTTTTGAAAAAAAAAAGCCTTTAAACTTCGAGTGGAGTTCGCAGGCTAGCAGGAACAGCAGCAGCAAGCACGCTGACGCCGTCCTCGTCGCCATCGCCCACGGCCATGGTGCTAAAGCACACATTCTAAAATCCCTAGATCCAACAAACAGGGGGCTGTGGAGCTCTGGTGAGAATCATGTGGATGTCGAGCTACATTGCGGAGAGCAGCCGCGATGTTGCCAAGGACATGGCCAAGGACTCCCTCCGAGCTTCAGCAGCGGCGATCCTGACGCCGGACACTGTCTTCCAGGGCAAGATCCGCAACCTGGTGAAGTCGGACCGCAGCAAATACAGCAAGATCAGGCGGTCCTCGCGCTCCTTCCTCCACAGGATCCTCTACTGCCAGTCAGGGATCTCGAATGAGATCGCCTCTTCCTCTTCCAGCAGCAGCAGCAGCAGCGGCAGCGGCGGCCGAGGGATCAACCCCAAGTCCATCATCAACCACGAATTTCTTGTCATCGTGATGAAGATCCGGGGGAAGCGGCACATCTTCCTGGCTGAGAAGTGCGGATCCGGAGCGAACTGCGGCATCAACATCAGGGCCGTCAAGGACGAGCCGGAGGAGATGGGGGCTTTGGAAGAGGCGCAGGTGTCGGCATTCGACTGCGAGGACACTCCCATGAATCTGGAGGAGGTGCTCGCCATTCTCGAGGACCACGACCCCAACTACGCCGCCCAGGAGAACAACTGCTGGAAGTACGCAGTGCAGACGACGCAGGGGCTCCTCATGGCGTGCCAGGCGGTGACCGGAAAGGCGCACTTCGGGGAGCAGGCCAAGCTGGTGGGAGCAAAGGTGACGGTGAACCACGTCCGAGAAATGACTGCTAGAGGTCTCCAAATCCTGTTAAATGTGCTCAGTAGATGACCTGATCATCGTCAGATCCACCCCAACTTCCTCTTTTCATTCTTCCTTTGATCGAATTCTCCCAAATCCCTGCTCCTATTCTTGACTAATTTCTTGAAGAAAGCCTCGGGCTTTATATCAAACCTGTTCTTCCATTGATGTTCATGTCCAGATTCTGAGAAAGCAAGATTGAAAATTACAAGTTTTCGTGGTACCACGTAGTGATATGTAGTTGCAGCTGATCATAGCCCGAAAGAACACCAGCTCCTGCCATTCCCACAAGCACATTAGTTCCTGCGCCTCTGAAGAATGCCCGGGGACCTTCGTTCTTCCAAATAAGCCTGAAAGCATCGATTGCGCCACGGTACTTCACAGCTTCGCCCGAAGTCATCATCATCCTGCGCCGCACGGTATCGAAGGGATAGACAGTGAGACTGGAGAAAGTTGTCACTACCCATCCAACAGCGAAACTAGCAGCAAAGCTTCCCTGTGTCAAAACTTCGGAGGTTTAGAAGTAAAGCTCGAGAGAAAGATAATCGTACCTGGAGTGATCCCACCAGAACAAACGGCTTCACCGAATCATAGATGCCGAAGTAGAGGCTGCGGTATAGAACGATGCCAACTATGGAAGCGCTGAAGCCTCTGTACAAACCAAAAACACCATCGGTTGCCAGAGTTTTCTTGTATACATCGGTAAGACCTTGGTACTGGCGAGCACCGGTCTTCTCCAATTGTATGGTGTCGTTTGCGAGCCTGGTACGTGCAAAATCGAGCGAGTAGACAAGCATGGAGGATATCACACCAGCTGCTCCTCCAGCCGCCATGTTTCCAATTATCCATTTGCAGTGGCCATCGCGTTCTCTGCTCAGGCCGAAGAGATCCTTGATG